AGAGAAAATAGTCTACTGAAAGGCCCTCTCAGTAAGCTTATGAACATTCTGGACAGGAGTCAACCCTGAGTTAATTTCTGGCACTATGAGGGGGTGAGTGCTGAGGAGGGAAGATCATTGCTCCTTACAGTGAAGGAACCACCTTTGCTTTACACCTGTGAGCTTTATTTTGAATAAATCTGTTGGCACCATTATAGAGAAGCCTCTCCACCTCAAAGACTCAATCATCCACTCACTAGGTAAAGTTTCCTGTGATACATGCACTTTACTGCAGTTATAAAACCGATTAAGAAGCATTAATGAGTTCACTGAATGTTGACGATATAAAAGTAGATGACATGAACCTTCTATCTGAATTCCTGGACTTCCATTGCTCCGCAGCAGGAACACATAGCATCCTTCTCGGAGACATTCTCATTCCCCAAAACTCATTGCAAACTTCTTGGATCTTCAGCAGAAGATCCAAAACAAACCTAAGGAGTTGCTGCCTCTGGCCCTTCTGCTTTTTCAACTTAGGGCTGAGGCTTCTCTGGCCCCACCAGGCTTGCCCTCTCAATGAATGAGGGATCTGTAGCAGTGGTTCTCACTCACGGGTTACTTTTCCCCATTGGGACATTCAGCAACGTCTGGAGACGTTTTTAGTTGTCACAACTAGAAAGGAACCCTCTGGTGGGTGAAGGCCAGGAATCCTGCCAGCGAACAGGACTGCCTCCAACATCAAATAATTTTCCAGCACAAAGTGTTATTAGTATCAAAGCTGAGAAATCTTGACATGTGATATATTAATATAATGCACACATGTGTATAATAATATAATTCTATGTGTGTGCATATATATATATATATATATATATATATATAAAAAGTAGAGGAATGTACATCAAATGGTCACAACTTGACTCTGTCTCTTAGATCAATACCCAAGTCCTTATGTCAGCGCTCGAGACCCTCCACGCTCTTAACTCAATACTCCTCAGAGTGAAGCTTCAATCTCTCTCACCCGTGTCCTATGATTTCCTACCTAACCCATTTCTCAGGATGTTTGTGCAATCTGGACTGCTCCTTTTGCCTTGATGGATTTATATTTTTTCAAAGACCATTTCCAGATTTACCCTTTGTAGAATGACTATGGAGAAAAGGGACTGATTATTTACTTCTCAACTTTGAGTGGTTCTACATTCTGTAACGTGTGGCGCTTCATCATGGACCCAACTGATTAGACATCTTCCCAAGTGCACTGCTTTGGGTGATATTTCTTCAACAAGCCCATTCCCCACTCACCTGGGTACAGTCAATCTGCTTCTATCAAATATATATGAAATGTGTAGAACCCTTCCTAGCTTACTAGACCACTGAAGAGTCATGGTAATTTGTTCTCAATGCACTATCTTCTGATAACATGAGAACTTCTCCAGAGATTTCTTCCTTCAAGCAGAAAATATGCCAATTAAAATGAGCTGTATGCTGACACCCTGCAGTGTCCTCCTGCCCTTCTGCCATCCTCAGCTCTGTAGTTAATGCCGACCACCGTGGGAGGCCTTTTCCAGTCTCCAAGATTAAGACACCTTGTGATAAGTTCTCAGGGACCCTTGTAATTCTTTAGGCATGTATCAGAATAGTTAAATGTTCCCAGCCATTTGTTTAATATCCATCCCCCATAATATGTGTCTCCCTTTCTCCTTAAGGGCCTGCACCGTGTCCCACTCTACAGAGTGTCTGCGCTATCAAGACTGGTACATAATGGACTTCTAAAGAAATAGTAAATGAAAAAGTTACTTCCAGAATAGAATTTTTGTGTACTGAGTCTGGGTACATATGTACATGGGTCTAGGTCTGGGGTCTTGTCAAGTTCAGAGAGCAGAAACAGTCCTTGTACATAGTCCTTGAATAGCAAAACCCAGAAATCCAGGAGCTCGCACCCCTCGTGGCATTTGTGAGGCTCACATGATGGCAAATCTAAAGCCAGGGTTAATGACTTCTGAACACACTGATTCTGAAAAGCCACACATTCATGAAAGGACAAAACACGGATACTGCTACACAGTGTTACCCAGATACAAATCAGGCATTCATCTAATCAAGGACCTCTACGGTGGTTGCCACTGATAAAATGATGGAGGCACATAATGAACTGCCATATAGCAACAGACAGGCACAAAACAGCATATCTCATCCACTCCTGTATTAATGTCCTGCATCATCACTAAGCGGTTCTCCCAGATGTGGGTCTGGGCTGGGCAATCTTGGGCACAGTGAGGTGACCCAGAACAGCCCTAAGGAAGTCCTTTCTGGTAGGTGATACAGACCGCGACCCCATAGACCCTAACACAGACACAAAGTCATGCTGTTGAGACACAACTTGAACCATACACAGTACTACTGAAAGACAGAAACACACAGACCCGGAGTGGTACAGGGACAGAGGAACCCCCACAGACACACACGTGAGAAACAGATGTGTGAGCAAACAGACACGATCACACCCACACACATTAAATAAGGCATGGAGGTCTAAGAGGAGCCAGACATGGTGAGAAGCACTTCCGAATCAAATGTGGCTCACATTCCCATTAAAAAAATATCTGATACGATTATGATCTCCATTTAAAATTTAATAAATCCAGGGCACAAAGAACTTAAACTTTCCCAAGGTCACTAGCTGTTAAATGGCTTGGATGTTTAGGATTTTTACCTGTTTGGTCTGCCTTATCCTCTGTTCTAAACTCTCCCTTTCCCTGAGGCTCTCGTGAGGCTTGTCCCTCCTCCTCCTCAAGGATCAGGTCTAAGAGGCCTTCCAAGACCCCACATTTAAAAATCCAACATTGCCTTGCTTTGTTGTCTCCAAGAACCCAGGAGTATTTGAAATTACTCTGTATCCTTTTCTTGCCCGTAGGTAGCTGGCTGTCTTACATGGGCTGGTGAAATTCCTGCCTTACTTTGATTAGCTTTGTCATGGAAAATCCAATCAAAGGAGAGAGTAGTCAAGATGGGTGTGGCAGGATGTGGGTAAAAGGTATGATCTCACCTGCTCCAATAAAATGGCAGCTTGGCACCAGAGTCCTTTGCATGTAGCTTGCAGTCTTCAGAGTTGGATGCCTGAAGGGAGCTCCTCAGTGTAAGGAGTGAGTTTTAATCCTTGCATTCTTTCTATACTTCATTAGAAGTCAACTTCAGTGAGTAATATGTGTTTACCATTGGTGGCATTTGTTTTTAAAAAATAAACACAATAAGTAGATGATCTAGAAGTACAGGAATTATCTCACACCATTCCTTCGCTAATGGAATTCTTCTACCCCTTCAACCTTGAGCAAATTTTAAAGAAAACATTAATAATAGGGGAGTCTCCTTAAAAATATAAATGGCTCTGCCACATCGTAGAACCATTTAAAGTTAGATTGAGTGTTATTTGTTGACATGGGCTAAAATGGAAAATTACAGAAACATGGGCTGTATTTCATGGATCTCAAAATCTTATGAGGCAGTGACATAGTGAGCAAAAAGGATATAAAGAATGCATAATTGCATGTAGAGATAAATACTACTTAATTCAATAAAAAGAAAATTGACCCTTTTTCAAAACATTTTTGGAATGGAATATATAGCCTGCCTTTGCTCAATGTTATCAGTCATACTTAACTTGCAACTTCAGTTAGCTTTTTTTTTAACTCCTCAATTTTGGTTTAAGCACTGAACTCTCATCCTGCCACATAATGGGCATTAAGCCATCTGCAAAGGACTGAAAGAATCCCAAATAGTAATAGGACACTTAATCTTTCTTGATGGTGTAACCCTCGTTGCTCTGTATATCTCCACAATATAATGGTGAAACATATTAGGTCTTCATCCACAGTTCCTGAAAATGCTTCAGAGCCATAAAAGTGAAATGGGTGTCTTGTTATTAGCGAAGGGGATGTTTGGATCCCACCCTAGGGCACGGCTGGTTGCCAGGAGGACCAACCATGTGATTAGAGGGTTGAAAATTTCAGTCCTAACCCCCACCTCTGGGGAGAGGAGTGCGGCTGGAAGTTGAATCAGCCAATGGCCAGTTACTTAGTCAGTCATGTGTGCAACGAAACCTCCATGAAAACCTAAAAGGACTGGGTTTAAAGAGCTTCTAGGCTGGTGAACGTGTGAAGATGCAGAGTTGTGTTGTGACACGGATACTCCTTGCCCTTTCTCCACACCTTGCCCTATGTATCTCTTCATCTGGCTGTTGATTTATATCCTTTATCACATCCTTTAATAAACTGGTAATGTTGTTTCCCTGTGTTCTGTGAGCCATTCTAGCAAATTAAAAGAGGAGGAGGTCCTGCGAACCTCCAGTCGGGAGCCAGTCAAAAGCACAGGTAACAGCTTGGGACTTATGGCTGACATCTTATAGGGGCAGTCTTATAGGGAAAGTGAAACGTGGAAAGTACCTGTTCAAGTCTTGACGGTTTTTTTTTTTTTTAATGGGTTTCTTTATCTTTACTTGGTTAGGGAGTGTTTTTGTTTATTTGTTTGCTTTTTAATTTTTTGGAAAACAAGCTCTTTGCCACTGATTAAATTGAGGAGAAATGAGCCCTTTAAAATATCACCGTTCAATCTGTGACTGTAACATAGAAAGAAATAAAATTGATGTTTGTACATCATTTTGTATCCAGCAACCTCTCTAAATTTATTAATTCAAATATTCTCTCTAGTATTATGTATACATTTTATGCATGTGTTACAACATCATGTGGAAACAACAACATTCTCAGTCCTTCTCACTTACCACAATGGTAAATCCTTCTTTGGATTTACAGAAAAACTCAGAAAGGCATTGACTGACATGTCCTTTTCCCGTGGACTACTTCAAAATCCCTGTTTGACAATCTGCAAAGACAACTTCTGCTTCCCTTCTCAGATGTCTGGAGAGGGAGAACCAAACATGGCTTCACTTGTCCTCGATGTCTTGACATCAGTCGTATTTGAAGGATCTGGACCTGGGGAGGCCGGTGGCTGAGATCCAGGCGAGGATGCTGGTGACCAGCCTGGTCTCCTGGATGCTGGATGTGAGTTCCCCATCCCTAACAGGGATAGGCAACTTCCATTATTTTTGCCCAGGTGGGGAGGGATCATTGTTCTAACTTAAAGGGCCCAGTGAATGTTGAGAGAAGCTGCAAGATAAATATTTGAGGCTGAGGCAACTTATCCATTTATCCATTTATCCATTGCCTCTCGAGATGACATGTGGAGTTGTAGCTCACTAAATTTCTCTGTGTGAGAGATGGTCAGTCACCTAAAAATGCGGGGTGGCAGACAGCTAAGATTATCAGCATCACACTCATGGCAAGTCAACCCCTGCTCCCCCCTCTAGACTGGGAACTTGTAGCTGAAGAGGGGTTTGGAAATGGGAGAGACTAGGGTCCTGGCTACGATGTTTGAGCCTATCCTGTGTGTAAGTTCTTAATGTTGGCAGGTTTATTCATGGTGTTAGTGTCTGCCTCAGTGAGTCTGGTTGATTTGGCAGAACAATTCAATTTGGGACCTCGTGTGTGTGTGTGTGTGTGTGTGTGTGTGTGTGTGTGTGTGACATTAGTCACCATTTTTTTTTTTTTTTTAGCAGTGGTAGTGTATTATGCTGTAGTAGGAAACCAACATGTTTGTCTACCAGCTGCTCATTCGTTTTCATGGCTGAGTAGAATTCTGGTGCACAAATAGACCACATCTTTTAACCATCTTGTACTGATGAACATTAGACAATTTCCACATTTTGGCAAATACAAAGAGGGCTGTTGTGAGCATTGGTGTACGAGTCTTCATATGGTGAAAGGCAGTACAGTATGCCCTCACAGAATGTGCCACTTTGGCATATCAATTATTTCGAACAAAGTTACTTGAGAACGAGCTGGTACAAGAAGAACTCTCTGACCCTCATTTCCCCCCCGGAAAGCAGGAAATAAATCTTCCATGTGAAAGGTGCCCTCCCTGTCCAAGGAGGCTAGAAGACCTCTTTCTCATCAGAGGTGGGAATTTAGGCCCAAAGAGGCTGTATAAACAAATCTTGGTACTTCACTAATTTACTACCGCACGCCCGGATCGCCTTGTCAGTTCTTCACAAATGCAGTTTCTCTGTCTCCCAAGGACAGAAGCTGCCTGCTTAGCTCATGTCTCTGAGTCATGTTTCCATGGAGCCCCCGCACCTATGAAGCCGGATTTGTTCTTTTCCTATTACTCTGTCTTATGTCAGTTTAATTATTAGACCAGCCAAAGGACCTAGAAGGGAAGAAGGGAGGATCTTTCCACGCCTACCATGATCATATATTTCATTTTCTTTTGAGTAAAAACCTGGGAGTGCAATAGCTGAATCATATTGTAGATTATATGATTAACTTCTTCAGAATCTGTCAAATTATTTTCCATTTTCCATCGACAGCACAAGTTTACTAGGAGAGTTCTGGTTCCCTCATTTCCTCTCCAACACTTAGCATGATTCTTTTTTCTAACTTGGCTTTTCTAGTAAGTGTGTAGTGGTCTTTGGTTGTGGTTTTAATTTTAATTTCCCTAATGGCTAGCAATTCTCAACATCTTTTCCTGTAGTTATTTGGTAAGCACATACTTTCTTATGGAGTGTCTGTTCATATCTTTTGCCCATTTATCTAATTGGATCCCTTATTCTCTCAGTGTTGAATGTTAAGCACACTATAGATACAGTCCTTTGTCAAGTAAGTGACTCTGCAAAGATTTGTCCCAGTTTGTGACTTGACTTTTGATTCTCTTGCCCTTTGAAGGGCAGAATTTTTTAATGTTAAGGAAGCCCAATTTATCAATTTGTTCCTTTTTGGATTGTTTCTCTGGTGTCATAGCTAAGAAGTCTTTGCCTAATCTGAGGTCACAAAACTTTCCCCTATATTTCCTTCTAGGAGTTTTGTGGTTTTCATTTTATGGTTAAGTCTATGATACATTTTGAGGTCATTTTTGCGAATTATGGGCCCAAGTTGTCTTTTCTTTTCTTTTTTTTTTTTTCTTTTTTTTGCTTGTGGATATTCAGTTTTTCCAATTATTAGAAAGACTATCCTTTCTCTACCAATTTACCTTTAGGCCTCTTTCAAAAATGGGTTGTTCATATGCGATAGTTTATTCTTATGCTCTATTATGTTCATTGACCTATTTGCCTATCTTACTTTCTATAATAATTCTTTGAAATCAGTAGTCGATAGCCACTCGTCTTTGTTCTTTTTGAGTTGTTTTGGCTATCCTAGATCCTTATCATTTCCATGCAAATCTTAGAATCATATTGTCAATTTTTACAAAGAAAGCTTCTGAGTTTTGATTGGGTTTTTTAAATTTACAGATCAGTTGGGGGATAACTGATAGGTTAACAATATGAGTCTTCTGACTTCTGAATGAACTTTATCTTCACATTGAGTTGTCCTCTTTAACTTCTCCCAAAAATATTTTGTATTTTCAGGCACAGGTGGTTAATATCTTTTGGCAAATTTATCTCAAAACATTTCATATTTTTATCATATTATAAAGGAAAATTTTAAAAATGTCTATTTCTGATGGTATTGGGCTAAAAATATACTGACATATATATAGTCACCTGATTTGTGACGAACAAATGGGCGTGTGCACTGGGCGAAGGGTTGTCTTTTAATAAATTGTGTTGAGTCAACCATATGTCTATATGGAAATACCCATATGGAAAAAACTTGTAAAAATCAACAAATAAATGTTAAATAACCCAATAGAAAATACTCAAAGATATGAATAACATGCTCCACTTAATGACGTTCAAGGTACAGGAAGCATATGAAAAGGTATATAACATCATTACTCAGAAAGGAACCAAAAATTCAAATTAAAACAACAAAATATCACTGCACATCTTCCCAGAAGGACAAAAATCAACAAGCCTGACAATATAAAGGCAAAGATAGGAAGCAATTAAAATCATTTTATACTGCTCATGCTGAATTGCTTTCTCTATTTTGGAAAAATATTTGTCAGTATTTATGAAAAGTAAATATATGACTACCTTACAAACTGTCAATCCTACTCCTAAAATTATATGCCTGAAATTCATGAATGCATAAGTTCACCAAAAGACATATACAAAAATATTCATAGAGTTTATAATACCCCCAAAACTAAAAGCAACTGAAAAGCAACCAAGGACATTAAATTTTAAAGTGTTAGCATTTCCTGAAATTGTCCTGTAAGCATTCTTAAAGTACAAATTAACACATTAGCCCTAATAAAATGTCACGATAACTTCTATGCCATTAGGAGTCAATCAAATACTTTAATGTGTATTTTTTTAAAGATTTTACTTATTTATTTGACAGAGAGAGATCACAAGTAGGCAGAGAGAGAGGGAGAAGCAGACTCCCTGCTGAGCAGAGAGCCCGATGCCTGGTGGGGAGCTCGAGCCCAGGACCCTGATGAGATCCCAGGACCCTGATGAGATCATGACCTGAGTTGAAGGCAGAGGCTCAACCCACTGAACCAGCCAGGCGCCCCAACATGTGTATATTATTTTTAACCAATAAAGGAATTTTAGAATTTAAATCTACAAACTTCAAAGTATTGACTTTTTAACATAATTAATGTAAACATAAATTCAAAGATATTATGGTTTGTTAATCCTCAACTTGTTAATATTTTACATCAGGTGGACTTTTTAAATCAAGCATATAAATAAAAATATTTAAAAATGGTATTTGAATCAAATAATGATGGAAAGCCCAACCACCATGTTACAGTACTGACCTGCCCTATTATCAGAATGGAGTAGGAGGAAACTGGCAAGGATGATTTTTGAGTTTACAAAAGTAGTTTGGAGGGTCTGGTACTCCTATGGAAGAAGCCATTCTGCCTCCTCCTGGGTTGTGTTCATGAGAGCCTGAAGGACTGAGAGTGGGAAGGAATGGGAACTCAGCACTAGCTCCCCGGAGCGGGGGGGGGGGGGGGGGGGGGGGGGGGGGGGGGGGGGGGG